AGTAATAGGTGGAAGGTGTAATTTTGAATACTACATCCACTGATCCTTGCATCACCACCTATAGATAGAGGTGGTCATTTGAGTAGTCTGTGCACTCAAATAAATAGTGAACGCACAAGTAAAGAGCAAGTGCTCAAGTAAGCAAGAAGTCCGTGATCAAGTGAAAAAATAATAGAGCAACAAATAAGGTTGATAAGAGTGTGAGGGAAAGAAAATATTGTGTGTAAAGAGTTAAGGCCGAAGTTGGTCCTCACTATGAATTAATAACATTCAAGTTGTCAGCAACCAATCATACCCAAAAAAATTCAACAGATCATCTTTTATTGCATTGCCAAGTAGCTTCACCCATGTCTATTGTAGGGTGTTATTAAGATGGTTTGAGTATAATGGACCATGACGAATATTATGAATGATAGCATTATCTAATCAGATCTTTAGAGCATGGACTAAATACGTAAAAGTGTGGGATGTAGGCATGTTTCTCCGTTAACACTTTTTTGGGTGGCATATCATGAGAGAAATAGGAGATATCTCCTATTTTGAGGGAAACATCTAAGGGGTAGCCTCTTTTCTTTAAAGTCCTTTTTGGTTCACTCATAAGGTTCCCATTGTACAGAAGATTATGCATCTTTCATAGAAAATCATATATAAACCTTTAGTATACATGAGCTTTCTCATTATGAATAGAATTACACTTCACTAGTTATCTTTATTCAATTAGCTATTTTATATTCTAATAGTGGCAAATTTATAAACAAAAAAAATTGTACAAGAAACACACATGCTTATTCAAGTGAACCCTTTTTTGTCTAGGTAAAGGTTCCTAATTAGGATCATTGAGGTAGAAATCTCTCACCTTCTCATAGATGATACTCTTCTTAATTATGTGGTGCTGAAGAATCACAACTAAGATGATTGAGGTTTATCTTAGTTCTTTTTTAGCAGTTTCAAACCTAAGATTAATTTGGGAAAGAGATTCATTTAAGTGGAAAAGAGATTCATAATTTAAGTGGGATTGTATGTACTATTTTTGTTCATATTACCTTTCTAACACTACCCCACAAATTGGTGCATAAAAGTCATATGTACCTAGCTTGTTATAGATGTAACTAATACGAGGATCGGTGCTAAAGATATCTACAAGTTGATCACTCGACTTCACAAATTTTGTAATAATATCTCCCGAGTATCTTTTCTCTGATAGAGTGATAGTAAATTTTAATGTGTTTAGTTCGCTCATGAAATACTTGATTTGATGTAAAATGTCAATAAAACACAGAATGATCAACTCCACTACGAGTCATGCCAAACTCCTCAATTATGATGTTGAACTTCCCAAACCAACTTTGAGAAAATTACTTTAGGCCATAGAGTGACCTGAGCAATCGACATACAAGGAGACTCCTCCTAAGCAAGAAAACCAGGTATTTGCTCCATATAACTTCTTCCTCGAGACCATCATGGCGAAAACATTCTTAATGTCCAACTGATTAAAATGTAAATGGCAAATGACAACCATAGATGGAAAAAGGAAGACAAATGCTATTTTAGACATGGGAGAGAAATTATCACCACAATCCAGCCCAAATATCTGAGTATACCCTTTTTGACAAAAAATTTTCTAAAATATAGAGAAAACATGGCTGGAAAACTCAAATCTACCAGAAACAATGAAATGGTAGTGGGAAAGTGCTCAAAATTTGGTATGAAATATATGAATCATCTTGAAATAAAGAGACTAATCAATATTGAACAAGAAAGTCAATGGAAAATTGGCCGGACAGGCTCACACACCAATGCGGTCACTAGAACCCTAGATCTTGCCACATGTGAGAGATCTGTGCGACCGGTGACGCAAGTTGGGTTTTGGTCGCCGAAGGTTGCTGGACTTTGAGGAAGTGTTGGAGTTTGCCGAACATTGATGAAATTGAAACTATGTAAGACACATCTAAGGTGTCACCAGAAAGACGCACAGAACTATGCAAATCAAATCTAAGGAGTCACCAAATAAAACACACAGTGCTACGCAAGTCATACATAAGAGGGTAATTTCAAAATATGCACGATGTCCATAAATTAGATATGAGAAAGTAGTCCTTGGAAAGATGCATTGTGCTATGCAAATCATATATCAAAAAAGCAGTCACCTAAAGATGCATGGTGCTACGCAAATCAAATATGAGAAAGAGGTTATCGAAAAAATCGTACGATCTACGCAAATCAAATATTAGAAAGTGGTCACTAGAAAGATGGCACGATGCTATGCAAATTGGATATGAGAAAATAGTCGGTGAAAAGATGTCACGATGCTCCCCAAAGAGGTGGAGGCTATTAGTCACTTTTTAGATAGTTTAGGAGGGGTATAAATGATAGATTTTTTGGTTTTGCTTACTGTATACTCCTGATGCACCATTCGTGTATTGTTGTCTATAAAATGTTAACTTTCTCAAATAAAAAAAAAAAGATGGCATGGTGCTACACAAATTAGATATGAGAAAGTAGTCACCGAAAATATGGCATAGAGCTACGCAAATCAAATATGAGAAAGCAGTCATCGTAAAGATGCCACGTTGCTATGCATATCGGATATAAGAAAGTAGTCACCACAAAAATGGCACGGTGCTACACAAATTAGATATGAGAAAGTAGTCACCAAAAAGATGCTGATGCTACGCAAATTGAATATGCGAAAGTACTCATCGAAAAGATGACTCAGTGCTACTTCAACAGCGACGGATACAGGGTTGACACAAAATAGTCCTAGAAAATCGTCGTATATTGACGCATGATGACATGTTTACTGAGTTTTCTTCCCCTGGATATGGGGTTCATGCATTTATCATTAGCCCTACTTTTGTTAACATAAGCATTGGCCAGAAGGGCGGCATATATAGGCCATAGACGCCCGCCGGCAGCGAAAGCTCTTTGACTCTCTACCAGGATCATAGAAGCTCTGATCCATGAGAGAAATATTGGAGAAGAATATTATTGAATTGTGTATCTACATTATTACATTAAGATCCTATTTATAGACACTATATTAGACTCATTTTCCAAATAGAACACTACAAACAATACTTTTCCAAGTAATATTTTATTTACTAATCATATCCCTATTCATGTTCTAAGTGGGATTGTATATACTATTCTTGTTCATATTACTACGGTAGCAGATATAAATGTTGTCTAGGAAATACAGGAGCCAAAAGAACTTTTGAATTGTCTTGGTTTGCCTTAAGGTGCGAGATACAAATCAAAACAGGTGTGGCAGAAATTCGAGGTTGAACGGAGATTAGCTACTTGGAGAAGGCGGTATCTTTCACTTGAAGGAAGACTCTCAATAATAGTGTTCAAGACTCCCTATTTTTCTTATGACTTTAGTTCATTGAGTGTGAATGTGAAAAAGAAGCTAGAAAGAATTCGAAGGGACTTTTATGGAAGGTTGACGGGGATAGGAGGTTTTCCATTTGGTGATGTGGGACAAGGTTATGCTGGAGAAAAGTAGCAATGGAGTCGGCCTATGTTGCTTGACTCTTCAAAAATGTCAACAGGTGTGCCAGATTCGCTAAAAGTATCTAACATCAAAACTTAAAATCACACAATGATAGTTTGCTTTTGAAGTGGTTGTGGAGATACGGTAAAGAAACAGGATCTTTATGGAGAAAGGTAAATTTCTAACAAATATGGTGAGTAAAGCTCTTGAAACCCTAATCCTATACTACCCTCTCACAAGTAAGCCTCTGCAAACACATTAGTAGCTTATGGCCTACAATTACAAATATCCAGTTAGGCTGCAAAACTAGTTTCTGACAAGACACTTGAGTAGGTCATACTCCACCTATAACTCGAATACTATGATCTTTATACCTTCACTGACACAGCTAGTAATCTTGTCTCAGTTCTGGAATGGTAACACACTTGGTGCATTTCATTTAGAAATTGTTTTGACTGGAAAATCCCCAGAATTGTTCTCCCATTTAAAGATTTAGAGATGGTATCCCTCAATGATCAAGTGGAGGAAATATGGTATGGAATGTACAGCAAAATTGAAAGTTAAACAGTTAATCCATGTTACAAGACCCTCAAGGGTGGGGGAGTTAACTTTGACAATTGACCATGGAAGCAACTCTGAAAGTTTAAAACCCCTTGTAAAATAAACTGTTTCATATGGTTGGTGGCTAAAGCTACATGCCTTGCACATAACAATTTACAGAGACTAGGATTTTTGTTATGCAGTAGGTGTTTCATCTGTAACAAAGAAATTGAAAGTGGCAGCTTGCATAGCTTGGTGGCTTAACAGATTTAGACATTATTCTTCCATCTTTGAAAGATTGTCACTGTTATTACATAGACAGTCAAAGAGTTACTAATTGTTGGAACTCCAGCAGTATTAGTAAACCAGTAAAGAAGATTTTTTTTGACAAGAAAAAAAATCTTCTTCACTGGTTTACTGAGCACCATCCCTGCTTGTATATGCTGCTATATATGGAAGGAAGGAAATGTGAGATGTGTTTAAGGGAAGAAAGTGTACAGCAGCTTATATACAAATGTTAATGGATTTCAACTTTTTGGTGCTATCTACAGTATATAAAGGATAAAGATAGTACATTAATTTCATATAGTCTTTATAAGAATAGGACCTTCATTGCGAATATCCTACTTATTATTTTTTTACAGAAAGAACACCAACTCTAGTACTATCTTGGCATCAAGTTGGCGTCAAGTTGTTGCATTTTCAATACATTATTTAGAATCGCTTTATGAGTATTCAGTAAATATCTGCAGAAGTAGTAAATATAAGAACACAAACATGTGCAGAAGGCATATTTTCATATTGCTTGAAGATATTTTGTTTCGCATTCTATTGATACAGTAAACCACGTCGTCACTTGCTGCTTTTTACAAGTAAGCTAATTAACTGTGGGGCTCTTATCATACATTAATTTCATCCAAAAAAACAAGTAAACTAAGAAACATGCCAATTGCCAACAAGAAAGTACCTGAGCCAAGGCTTGGTACCCGGCAAAAAAGGATCTCTTCATTATCTTCTCACCAGAAACCTTTTCCTTGGTGAAGCCATGAACATCTAGAAATCTTTTATACAATTTTCTCTGTAAAGAAGAAAGCTTTACAGACATCACGTAGACAGTTTTTGGTGGCAAATCCATCTTCACGACATTCATGTCCATTCTTTGAACAAATCCTTTTAAGTGTTCATAGAGAATATGAGATCGCTGATTCATAATCTTAACATCATCAGCTGTAGAATTGGTGTGTTGACCATTTTCTATTGGATTCTGGAAGCTGCACCAGGAAGATAATATTGTCAAAATACATAAAAAGCAAGCACAGTGCAGTTAAAAGGAAAGATGACTTGCCGGTTTCTAAATTCATGACTGCTGCCAAGAAATCCTTCTCTCACAAAATCAACCATCTGCCATGAAATCAAAATAGTAAGACTAGATTTCTATATTAAAGTCTTACCAAATAAACAACTTCATCACAGACTTACACAATAGTACTCCATCAAATTGTTTTGAAGAGGAGATCCAGTTAATGCAATCCTTCTCTGGCACTTAACTTGTTTCAAGGCTTGAGTAACATCAGCTCTGGTATTCTTGATAATATGAGCCTCATCACAAACAAGTATGTCGGGTCCGTCCTGGCAAGCGGAACATATTTGAATCAGATGAGAAATTTTTGCTCTAGTTAAACCAAAAAAAGAAGGAAGTTCAACTAAAAGAAGGGGGGAGTATATGGAACGGAGAGGACTATAAAATTTTAACCCCAACAGCATGGAGAAGCATTCACAAATCTAAGTTATCTAAGAATCAACTAGATTCATTTCAAACAGAGAAGAAGAGTCCAGCACTCTTTTTTATATGACTTCTAGAGGACGAATAGGAGTTTATACGCATTACCAACATTTCAAAATCAAGTTGGGTTAATTGAGATGAAATGTATTATGCTCAACTTCAACCACAAGCGTCCATACACTAGTTTCACCTTTAATTTTTCTTGTCAAAAAATGCAGAGGAGAAAAGACATTAAAAAGATTGAGAACGGTAACAATTAAAAGACGACAAATTCCTATCAAGGTGGTGCTGATGATGGTCATGAAGAACCTAGAACTATAATGACCACAGTAACAATGACAGATAAGGAAAATGGGGGTTGAAATCGATCAAGAGGGCTGATGTATTGGCTATTATGCCCAACGGATGGAATGGAGATGGCGCAATATCCTCACGTCAAGTTGACATCCAGAAGCCTTCCTTAAATTCAATCAAATGAGTTGAACTTAAGATCGGATTTGCACAAGGGTAAAGAGGAAGAGAAGCTACTCAAATAAAGGAGTTGAGTCAGGCCCATGTCAGAATAATAACATGTATAAAGAATATTGAAACAGAGGGGTACAAGACAAAAATTAGAAGAAAGCATCAACAGTAAAGAGGACAGTCCACTAAAGGTCCCAAGCTAAAACATCTACGATTTGAGACAGTCAACCATCTCTTCTTGGCAGGACAACTATAAATCTGTGGCACATGTTCTTTTGTATTTTGGGAATAACTTGGGTAATACCTAGTTCTACTTTGGCATTACTGAACAATTGGTGGAGTATTGGGAATAGAGGTGGGGAGGAGGACTGGTGGAAGATCATTCCTGCTTGCATTTGATGTACGGTGTGGAAGGAAAGGAATGGTAGACATTTTGAAGGCACTAGCAGTTCTATCGAGAAAATTAGGATGAATTGTCTTAGCTTGTTCTTTTTTTGGTGTAAACAGAATATGTGGGGGGAAGTCGGAGAGTTAATATATTAAATTGGCAATGTATATAGGGTTTTGGGCAGGGGTTTAAGTACCTTTTCAATGCTTGTAAAGTTTCCAACTTGGTACCTTTTTCTGGGGTGGCTAAGTTTTTATTGAATAGAATTGTTGCTTGTCTCAAAAAAGAGCATAACATTAAGCCAAAAGGACATGAAAATGAAGTAACTGGGGGAGAATCTTCCTCTCTTCTCCATCAAAAAATCACAATTATCAATTCTAAGGGTAACAAACACTACCTGAAGGACCTGACAAATTTCTCTGGCCACGTGACGCTCCTTTATATTCTTCCCCAGTGTCAAATTTCTGAAAGCAGTGTAGCCAATTAAGAAAACGCCACCTTTTAATCTCCATTTTTGGAGTAGCTCGGCCCTTCTCTCCCTGTAAACAAGAGTAAAGTTGACTAAGATGCCACCTATGAAATGACTCAGAGGTTTTAAAAAAGAATGTTCAGAGTACTTCAATACAAAAATCCTAACAGCCAATTAAAAACAATACAAAAATCCTAACAGCCGATTAAAAAACAGGACATGCAAAGAAAACACAAGAAAATAATAGCTAATTATGGGACCTCATTGAAAGAAACACCCTTACATATATGCCTAAAAACCCTAACAGGACATGATAAAACGAAGAGCCAGACATCATAAAAAGAATTCTGTATCCGGAAACTTCCAATAATATATATAACACTAGATGAAGTGGAAGCATCACTGCCAAGAATACAAGACAGGAATCTTCAACTCAATCTGATGACTCACAGAAACAAGCAAATTTTATGGGTCCACCGACCTCATTCCGGTGGCTAAAATATCTAAAATGACAGAGCATCATTTAGTACACCAACAATAACATACCAAGTGTAATCCCACAAGTGGGGCCTAGGAAGGGTAGGATGTATGCAGACCTTATTCCTTCCTTTGTGGGGGTAGAGAAGTTGTTTCTGGACCCTCAGCTCAAAAGGAATGCTTTAGAAGACCAGATTGTAAAAAATTGTATCATTTCTGGGTCCAATGAAATTCATAGGAATAGGAAAAAATCTGTATCTATCAATATTGTGGAAATGGCTAATCCTTTGGGCCAGAGAGAGACTGTCATCCCCTATAGCAGGTAACCCACCTGCAGGTAATGCTAACCCCCAACTAAATAGCATTATTTTTGGTGTACATTAATGGAATCCACTGAATCCTTCAAGACAATCTGATAACTCGTGGAACAAGAAAAGCTGATTGTTCTGTAAAACACATTTGGTGACAAAATTTAGTAAATATGAAAGAGAATCACTATGATAACTAGATTGCAGAATAGGGGCTCTACTAAATAGCACACAGTTGGTGTGCATTAGTGGAACCCACTGGCTGTTATATTTTCTCGTTTTCTAAAGTGGTGCCCTCCCACTGTGTTGCATCACTTTCTCCTTTTCCAGTACTATAGGCCCAAGAATATGAAAAATCAAAGTTAATGATAATAAGTCTTAATATTTTGCATTTCCCTCCCGGGATGATTGAAATTTTCCATCAAACCAACTGATAACCTCAAGTAAGATGGGCAGCAAAAGAGAAAACATGAAAACTTAGATGGTACTGATCATTAGAAATAGAAGAAGAAAACAAGAGAAGCAGAAACCCAAGAGTCTGATCTTGAAATAACAGAGAACCAATTTCAACAGTACTAATAATGCATCCTTGAATCTCCTTCACTATTTCCAGCAATTTGGATGCATAAGTTTAGTTCCAGATCAGCTAGACTGATATCACCCTACAAGTAAAAAGATCTCACAAGAATAATATTTGCCAGATGGCCTCCAGAACTAAAAAGCTCAACTAAGAGATGGGGATGAGTTTGAAACGTTATAAGCTACTCATTAACCATCTTCATCAATGATGCCTATTAAAAATATAATGAAGCTATCTCCTCAGCAATCACCCTTCTACAGGATGTCACATTTCAAGACTCTCATCAGCAGGGAGAAAACAAAACCGTAGCCCAATTTTATGCAACCTTACTTCATCTAGCATGGTTATTAAGAGAAAGGCAGATATTTAATTAACCGTAGTCCAACTTTATGCCACCTACCTTCATCTAGCCTGGCTATTAAGAGAGGCTGATATTTGATTGTACTAAAATGAAAGTAGCATAAAGTTCATGAAAAGTTAACTTCATGATTAATTCGAACATTTAACAATATCAAGGTGGGTCCAGAATCCAGAGATAAGAATAGAAGAGTGTATAAAAAAGATTCCCAAACAATATACAGCCACAGTGCTCCGGGATAAACAAAAATATAGCAGGTCACATAGAAATGAGACTAAGGAGCAAATATCGCCTAGTCCTATTCTTCTTCTTTTCTTTTTGTCCCAGTTAAATTCGCTAAAAATGAACTCAAGGAAAACTTATATCATGTGGCAGAATCACTAACTGCTAACCATCAATCATAAACAGCATATTTCTACTGAAGAACTGAATATCCATTTTACCCTCAATTCATGATCAAAGAGTAATTCACATATGCCGGGAATCTTTTGTTTTCTCAGGCAAATATCCCATGTTGTAGGGGATTCAAAGAAAGCTTGTAGTTTAAGGGTGTGCAGGTTTGAAACCCTATACAAGGGGCTAGCGCACAATAGCTTTCTCAGATAGAGGTTCGCTTCTTCAAGTTCAAGTTCTGCTTGATGCTTCTCATTTTGATAGGAGTAGGTTCTTGCAGCTCGCGAGGAGATTATACAGTAAACATGATTTTTGAGTAGAATTGATATGCATGTTAACCAAAAAAATGAATATTTGTTCAAGATGGTATCTTATTGGAACATCCCATAACATGATTTTAGAGCAGAATTGATATTATGCATAGTGGTCTCCTTGATTTAATGAAGTCAATGTCTCTTAAGATCAAATCCAGCATATGCAAAAATAGTAGGTGATTCTTTATTATTGAAGTGCGTGACCATCTCATCTTATTTATTTTTATAACTGTGATATTGGACCAGCTTGCGCGCACCTCGACTAATTTCACAAGATACATACCACCTTCCACCACCGACAGGTACCAAGTAACTTAGTCCATCAAGACTAGAAGAAATGAGAAAAAGTCAATTGGTTTTTTGACTCTGCTAGAATAAACTAGAGACCTCGTGACTTACTTCATTGACCACTGGGCAACACTCTTGGGTGCAAAACCATCTCATCTAAAAGCTTAAGTTATTAGAGAAAGCACACTTTTATTTACTTAATTATATTTTCAACACGTCCACTAATGTGCAAACTTGATTCTTTTTTGCCAAGCACATGGAGATTATTTTTGATAAAGAGTAGAGGTGAAGTGTGTAACTATCTCATCTAAAAGCTTAAGTTGTTGCATAGAGCATACTTCTATTTACATAATATACTTAACACTATCTGTCCAAGTCTTTGTGGACAAAGTTACCTGGTACCTATGTTGATCGAAAGTAGTAGGTAGCCCATTAAATTAGTAGAGGTGAGTACACAACTGGCTTGGACATTGTTTTCTTTTTCTGGAATTATTGGTACTAAGACAAACAATAAGGACTCCATTTGTTGTCATCCTCCTTAAATTTCAAGATTTGTTTGTTACTCATTCATAACAACTTATTGCTTTAGCAAGCAACGAGGAGAATAGATGCATGAATCTGGTAGAATGGGATAAAGTGATCTTAAGAAAGAAACAGGGGGAATTGGGCATTAAGATTTTTAGAATGCACAATAGAAGCCTCCTTCCAAAGTGGCTATGGAGGCTCAATGCAGAGGACCGGAATTTGTGGAGAACCTTAATTAATATCACCCAAATATGGGATGTTGAATCAGTGGACAACAAATGAAGTGAAAAGCCCCTATGGCAGCAGTTTCTGGAGAACTATAAGAAATCAATGGCAAGCTTTTGGGGGTAATGTGGAGATTGTGGTGGGAGATGGAAGAAAAAATGATTTCTGGAAATATCAGTGGGTCGGCCAGAATAGCCTTGAGTCCAGTTTTCCAGTTTTGTACTCAATAAGTAGTCAAAAACAGGTTATGATCAAACAAATGTGGAGTCAACAAAGTTGGCATTTCAATTTCAGAAGAACTCTTAATGATCTGTACTCAAAAACGGGTTACGATCAACCAAATGTGGAGTCAAAAAGGTTGGTATTTGAATTTCAGAAGAGCTCTTATTGATTGGGATGTTGGGGCACAATCTACATTGCTTAATTTAAGGGAATCTTTGATGGCTTATCTGACTGCCCAGAGACTTAGATGGAAGCTGAATAGTAAAGGGGCAGTCTCAGTTAAATCAGCATACTGGAAGTTGAATCAAAAAGGCAATGAAAATGAGAATGTGTACTGGCCTTGGAAGCAGGTCTGGAAAGTGAATATACCAGTGAAGGTATCAGGTATTGTCTGGCTGGCTGGTAACTAGAAAAGCATGCTTAACCCAAGAAAGATTACAAAGGAGAGGTCTTCAGATTTGTTCAAGATGCCTTTTATGTGGACAGGATGGAGAAAGTAATGAACATCTATTTTTACATTACAAGACAACTACAAATTTGTTGCACGTGTTCCTTTGTATTTTGAGCATTAAATGGGCAATGCCAAGTTCTACCTTGGTGATGCTAAGCAGCTGGAGAAGTATTGGGAGAGAGGGAGGTGATGAGAACTGGTGGCAGGTCCTACCTGCTTCTATTTGGTTGACAGTATTGAAAGAGAGGAATTCAAGATTTTTTGAAGGTACTAGCATAAATTGTCTTAATTTGTTCTTTTTTAGGTGTAGACAGAATATGTGGGAAGAAATAGGAGACGTGGTAGATCTATTAGGCGATGTATAAGATTATAGGTAATTGGACAGGGGTGTTTATACTCTTTTGGGATTTATTACTCTTAACTAAGCATCTTTACTGGTGTTAAGTTTTTTCTTTTGATTCAATTTTTACCTTTAAAAATACTGAACTAAATTCTGGAAAGAGAGATGGTTGGGCAACACTACGCTGCAAGTCTCTTACCCTCGACTCTACCAAATAGCCAGCAACCAAGACTCCTTTGTCAGCCAATACAGAGACAAAAATGTATTTTTCCCTCTATTCAGAAGAAACCTTCAAGACTGGGTAATTAATGATCTCCTCACACTCCTACCCACCCTAGCAGAATACAGAAGTGAAGGGCTACATACAGACGCAGAATGGTCTAAGGAGGAGAAATACACGGTCAAAGACAACTACTGCCCCATGAGCTCTCAGAATGAGTTGCTGGACAACTGGCCATGGAAGTATGTTTGGAAAATTAGAACTCCCCCTAAAGTAACATGCTTCACATGGCTTGCTCTCAATGATGCTGTGCTTACTCATGATAACCTTTGTAAAAAGAAAAAGGTTCTGGTCAGTAGATGCCTTTTG